ATATATATATATATATGTGCACCCATACTGTGAAATGCCCCCGGAAATCAGAAGAGGGCATCAGAACTGGAGTTACAGATGGTTGTTGGCCACCATGTGGGTGCTGGGAATCAAACCTGAGTCCTCTGTAAGAACACCCAGTACTCTTAACCACTGAGCCATTTCTCCAGCCTCCTCAGCAAACACTCTTACCTACTGAGCCATCTCCCCAGACCTCCAAATCCAAAACTTTTTGAGCACTAATGTGATGCCATTGATAAATTCTACAAGGTGGACATGGTGGTGCATGCCTTTAGTCTCCCAGCACTTGGGAGGCAGAGGCAGGCAGGCAGATCTCTGAGTTCAAGGCCAGCCTGGTCTACATAGTGAGTTCTAGGCCAGCTGGGGCTACAGGGAGACCCTGTCTCAAAAATAATTAAATAAATTCTACAGCTGACATCATGTGACAGGTCTCATTAGAAACACAGGCACACTGTCTATAATTACTTCAGGTTATGTATATGAGATTTATATGAAGCATAAGTAATTTTCATGTTTAAACTTAGTACTATCCCCGAGATAATCTCATTATGTATATGCAGACATTAAAAAATGCAGAATTGGGGCTGGAGAGATAAGATCCCAGTTTGAATCCCAGCACCCACATGGCAGCTAACAACTGTCCGTAACTCCAGTCCTAGGGCATCCGACAGCCTCTTCTGATCTCCACGGCCATTGCACAACACGGGTGTACTTACCTACATGCAGGCAATACACAAATACACATAAAATAAAAAAAATAAATTTTTTTTAAAAAAATGCAAAATCTTGAACACCCCTGATCCCAAGCATTTAAGTTAAGGAACACTAACCTATGTCATATTTTAAATTTTCAAATTTTAAGTTTTAAGTTCAAATTTTAACAGTTCCAAAGATTTTTCCAGAAAGGATTGATTGATTGATGTTGTGTGTGTCTGTGTGTATGGAATATTTAATCATAATTTGCCTGAGTGTTCCCTCCACCCTTTAAAAAAACATTTATTTTATGTGATGAATGTTTACCTGCTTATATGTAAGTACACCATGTGTGTGCAGTGCTTGCAGAGACCAGAAGAGGGCATCAGATGGTTATGATGGTGGTGAGCCAACATGTAGGTGTTAGGAACTAAACCTGCAAGTGCTCTTGGTCTTCGTAGCCAATCTCTACTGTGCTTTGGAGACACAGTCTTACAGCTGTTGATGCCACTGCAGTGTGCCTAATATGGCATATAAAGGGGTTTTCTGGAATCCTGACCTGAGCAGGTAGCAGAGGCTGTCCTTGTGTACCTGTGAGAGGTTCTGACCTAGTCCCTGCTCCATCTCCCACTTTCTCCACGCGTTAATTACTCCTTAGGAAGATAGCCCTAGCTGTCCTGGAGTGAATCCCTTCAGCTGGTCTTTTGAGGTTAAGAAAACTTCCTGTCTGAAATGATGGCATGTAGTGGTAGTTAGTGGTTAGCTTTTCATGTCTTTATTTGGCAAAGTTCACGGCTGCTGTCTTAGGTCTGTCTCCACGTTTCCTCTTCATTTTCTGTCAGGCTTGGTTTTGGTTTTAATTTTACTAGTGCACTGATATATGAAAGACACAACACTGTTGTTGTTACTTAACTCTTTTAGTTTTTTTGTTTTGAGACAGGGTCTATGTAGCCTAGGCTGGCTTCAAACTCAGGATTTCTCTGCCTCAGCCTCCCAAGTCCATAGGTTTACAGGCATGGACACCATCCCCAGGGAGAGTTCAGTCTATGCCCACCCAGCCTTCAACATGCCTGCCTTGAAGAGTGGTATCAGGATCTTCATGTTTGGTGAGAGGTGATGGCTGTAGTGACAAGGCTCTCTTGTCATATGGTCACCCTGGCCTAGAAAGCTGAGGGGAAACACTAGGCATCTCCTCAAATTAGCCCTCCTCAGAAACCCTAAGAGAGAGAATGCCAGTTTGTACACATGCACGAGCTTATGTTTAGTGTGTGCATGCATGTATGAGAGCATACATACATGTGTGAGTACACACTGTGCATTTATATGCACACATGTATGTGAGAGACTGAGGTGTACATGAGTCTGTACATACGCGTGTAAGTCTATATGCATACACGAGAAAGTGTGGCTATGTGAGAAATGCATGCATAAATGCATGTGTGTGAAGGTGTATGTGCATGTGTGTGTGAGAGAAATTCATGTATAAATGCATGTCTGTGAAAATGTGTATGCCTGTGAGGGAAAAGGGATATGTGTTTTTGCTTGTGTGCCTGTCTTGTCACTCTGTCTCTCCACTATAGGCAGTGCCCTGGTGGTGGCCTTTGTGCTCCTGGGCTCACCTACCGCTGGGGACTTGTCCAAGCCACTGCCTTCTGTCGTTGTCTCTGCAGGTTCTCCCATGGGCAGGTAGTGTCTATAGATGAGCTGCGCCCCTTCCAGGACCCAGACTTGAGCCTGCTACAGGCCGGCTCTGCGTGTCTGGCCAAGCACCAGGATGGCCTCTGGCATCCAGCACGGATCACTGGTAAGACTGGCCACAGGGGCCTACCTGATGGGGCCTTTCCTGGAAAACCCTCTCTGTTCTTCACGTGGCTATACTCCACCTCCTCTTGGTTGGGCTTTGAGACCTCATCTGGGCCCAAGAGGACAGGTCTGCTTTTGCCCCACGTCTCCCTTCCCTCCCCGTTTCCCACTTGGCTCCTGACTGGTGGCCCCATCTGTGAAAGCTGCTAATCTACAGTCTGTCTGTGTCACCTCAGATGTGGACAATGGCTACTATACAGTTAAGTTTGACTCACTGCTACTGAAGGAGGCTGTGGTGGAAGGGGACAGCATCCTGCCCCCTCTGCGCACAGAGGCTACAGAATCATCTGATTCAGACAGTGGTGATGCAAGTGACTCCAGCTATGCCAGAGGTATGGTAGAACTCAGTGCCTAGAAGCAAGATGGTGGGGGAGTGGAGCAGGTTGGTGGTAGTCACCCTGAGAAGCACCCAGCTGTCAGGATAATTGTAGAACAAGTGATATAGCGAACCCTGCTTGGTACAAGGAACCACAGAAGAGGGCCTGCAGGACCAGAGAGAGTCCATGACAGGCCTAGGGGAGGACCTAAGAACCAGCTTTTGTGTTTGAGAAACACGCCCAACAGTCACGTGCAGCTGTCCGAGCTCCCTGAAGCAGTGACACCACACTGTGGGAGGGAAGGGAATGTTGGTGCTGGACCCGCCAAGGAGTCACAGGAAGTAATCAGTTGATTGGAGAGTGCAGGAGGGTGGCTTCTTCAAATGGCTTCCCAGATATAGGGCTTAGATACCTGGTGGATAGGGCAAAAGGGATCTTTGCAGATGGAAAGTATGTGTCCATATAGTCAGGGTAGAGATTTCAAGAAGTGGAACTAGTAGTAATGTATAGTATTCCCGAGGGGTTGGTTAGGATGAGGATAGGAAGATATCCCCAGGAACCTGTTACATGAACTAGTTTCTGAATTCCTACCCATGGTGACAGGTGATAAGCCAAGGCAGTGAAGTTGGCTACATATAGTACAGCCATATCTCAATCCAAAGATGTCAGGAGTACCCACAGCAGGCTTGGGGGGCCTGGAGGGGACCAAAAGTCCAGGACATTTGGCCCTGCCCAAGAACTGAGTTCTTGGCTGGAACCCAGGGCACCACTTGGAGTCCTCTGTCTCCTGCAGTGGTGGAATCCAGCATTGTGGACACTGGGACCTGCAGTTCTGCCTTTGCTGGCTGGGAGGTACACACACGAGGCATTGGCTCCAAACTCCTCATCAAGATGGGCTATGAGTTTGGCAAGGGTGAGTGTGTGCTGCCCTGAGAGGGGAGGGGTACCTCAGCACAGCCCAGGGGTCCACCAGAGGTAGCACCAGCGCGTCTTCCCTAGGTCTGGGACGACATGCAGAAGGCCGGGTGGAGCCCATCCATGCTGTGGTATTGCCTCGAGGGAAGTCACTGGACCAGTGTGCAGAGATACTACAGAAGAAGACAAAGGGAGGCCAGGCTGGGACCAGCAGGCCCCCACGGTGTCAGAGGAGTGGTGGTAAACCTGAGGGCCGTCCACCCCCTCGGAATGTGTTTGACTTTCTGAATGAAAAACTGCAGAGCCAGGCTTCCGGGGCTCCAGATGCTGGGGTGGATACCTCGGGCAGGAGGATCAAGGACATGTACAATGCCAGCAAGAGTGCCAAGCAGGCTCTGAGCCTACAGCTCTTCCAGACTGAGGAGAAGATTGAACGGACCCAGCGGGACATCCGGGGCATCCAGGAAGCCCTTACCCGGAATGCTGGCCGGTATGTGTGGGGTCCAGCCCAAGCAGTATGGGCCCCAGTGGCTGTGCCCAGGGGATACTTCCTCTGAGAGGTTGCCTGACCTAAATGGCAGCAGAGTCTGAGGTGGTCTGGATGTTGGAGGTCGGGCATTAGCCACAGGAGCTGGGGCCCTGGTGATGGGGAGCCCAGGGACCGTGCTGACCAGCAGGCCCTTCCTAGGCACACCGTGGCAACAGCCCAGCTGCAGGAGAAGCTGGAGGGAGCCCAGCGGCAGCTGGGTCAGCTGCGTGCTCAGGAGGCCGGCCTGCAGAGGGAACAGCGAAAGGCAGATACCCACAGGAAGATGACGGAGTTCTAGCAGTCTGCCTGTATTGTGGATGGAACCCTGGGATCTAGCTCCTAACTACCTTGGCAGAAAGACAGCTGTCACTCTGACTCCTAGAACAGCCCCCTGAAGAAGGGCCAGTCTGTTCCTAGGCTGCCCCTTGTTCAGCCTTGCCAGTCTGGAGTGGACACTACTGAGTGGAGATGGGGCTGCAGGCTCACTTTTGGACACTTACCTACCCCCAAGCCCACCTACCAGTGTCTTGGGGTATCTCCTTAGTGAGGACATTAAAGTGATTTCATCATAATTTTACTCAGTAGAGATTCTGCTGGCTTTGGGATCTCAGGGTTGTTGCAGTACATAGCTAGGCTACAGGGCTTCCAAGTGAAGCCACTGCCTTTGTCCAGGGTCAGAGAGCCCAAGAGCACAGCATTCTCCCTCCTCTCCCTTCTCCGACCAGATGAGTCAAGGTTGGGCCCCTTAGTGCCCAACGCTCACAAACAGGTGGAATATGTGCAGACACCCTTGAAGAGTACTGTCAGTGAGATGAGCAGGCAGGCCTCACTTCTGTGGGTTTGGGGTTCATTACTGGTGCTTGGCAGCCAGATGGTCTATCCAGTTGACCTGCTCTGCCTATCTCATTAACAGGTATCTGCTTATTAGAGTGGAGGGGACTGGGCTAGGCTCTGTGATAGCTGCCCAGTGGTGGCAAATAGCCAGAACTAGATGAGGGTCAGGGCTGTAGTAGGTATTGGAGGTGAACAGGAGTTGGGGGAACAACTGCGCAAGAGCTGAGTGGCTGCCGGGAGGTGCTCAGAGATAGACAGGAAGTGAGGTGGGGCGTTGAGCAGCAGCCCACAAAGACCTTCCTGGCCGTCCTAGACAGGGCCAAGGAGGATCTCCGGCAGTGACCTTGGTAAGTGTCTGTTCCTCTCCAACCTGGGCCAGTCCCCAAGCCACCCCCATGCCCTGGGGTCTGGGAGGGCCAGGCATTGAGACCTGGGTGTGGCCAGGTTAATCACCCTGGGCCCCCTCTGTGTAAGAAGCCCATACCCCAAGCCTGAGCAGACAGGCCCCATTTTAGTAGACTTCTCACCCTCATCTTACCCCCAACATCTGAATAGGCCCCAAACCCCATCAACTCTACTAAGAGCAACCCCCAGGAAAAGCAAGGACTGTGGGAAGGAAGGCGTAGGTCAGGGACACTGTGCTCAGAGCAGCCCCTCCTGCCTGCTGAACTCCTGTGCCCAGCTTCTGTAGTGAGTAGCCTAGGGACATCACCTGAGACAAGGTCACTCTTGGGTAAAGGAGGCTAGAGATGAGGTCTGTGGTCTGTGGCTCAAAGGCCCAGAAGTGTGATGTCAAGAGGCTTCCCCAGATGTTGGGTTTGGGTTACAATGACCACAGTGTGACCTTAGCTAGGTCATAGCTCCCCTGGCCACTCTTCCCCATCTCCATAGCCATCTCTGATAACCAAAGGGACAGGGAGAGCACCTCTTTACCAGGAGCCCTGACCGGAGAAGTTAAGGTGGGTGTCCCTGGAACTGGGCAAGGCTGCAAGGCCTGGGGGTTTCCGGTGTGCTGAGTCAGCCAGGAAGGAGGAGCCCACCAACAGGGTGAGGCCCGCCAAGTAGAGCCGCAGGTGTGTGCTGGTCCCTCAGCCAGCCCCCAGTGCTCCTCTCTTCTGTCCCCAGGTCCCCCTTCCCTGCTTCACAGGATGGGGCCACCAGTGCCCTCAGCCCTGTCAGCCATCTGGGTCCTGGGGTGCTTCTCCTTGCTGTTCTGGCTGTGGGCACTGTGCACAGCCTGCCACAGGTATGTGCCTGGGGTTCTTTCTGTCCTCATGCTACATGGCTCAGAGCCAGGAATCTTGAGAAGTCCATGCAAGGGCTCTACATATGCCTCCACACTGGGCTTAGGCCAGCACCTGACCAACTTTGCCCTCCCTCTGCCCCCTGGACTAACAGCACTCTTGTCCCCAGGAAGCGGACTCAGAGGCAGCAAACTGGGCTGCAGGGCAGTGTGATACCAGTGGAAGTGGTGAGTGTCAGGCTGTCTGTGGGGCCAGGGCAGGGGCAGCAGGGCACCAACCAGCCTTCCTTGCCCCCAGTCACTGCTGAGACAGACCCACCTCTGCTCCCTCAGCAAGTCTGACACCAGGCTGAATGAGCTGCACCGAGGCTCACGCCGAAGCACAGGTGAGCCCCTGGAAGGCTATAAATGTATAGCTGGCTGCAGTCTACCACTCCTGGGCCAGACCTGTGCCTTCACCCCTAAGTGATCTCTGCCTTGACCCCATCCCTAGCTCCACGGCCTGCTAGCATGGATCTTCTGCGTCCACACTGGTTGGAGGTGACCAGAGGCAGCACCAGGCCTCAAGTACCCCCCTTCGCCTTGCCATCCCGACAGCTGCCCAGGGCCCCATTTCTTCCCCTTGCCACTGCACCCTCCACTGGTCCCGAGGCCACCTATTCCAATGTGGGCCTGGCTGCGATCCCCAGGGCCAGCCTGGCTGCTAGCCCTGTGGTGTGGGCTGGGACACAGCTGACTATCAGCTGTGCCAGGCTTGGGCCCGGAGCAGAGTATGCCTGCATCCAGAAGTGCAAGGGAACAGACCAGACCCACCAAGAATTGCAGCAGGAGAAGGCTGAAGTGACCCCAGCTGCTCAGGTAAACAGCCTGGGTAGGGTAAAGAAGGTGGAACTGGGCTCACCCTTGGCAGAGTAGACACTGCTGAGCCTTCTCTGGGTCTGCTTTCTCTCTCCAGGTGGACATCTTGTACTCCAGAGTCTGCAGGCCTAAAAGGAGAGGCCCAAGACCTGCCACAGATCAGCTGGACCCCCAGGGTGGGGGAGCAATTCTGGCCCTGGGGGGTGACATGGAATATGAAGCCGTCACTCTCAGGGGCCAGGGTGTGGATCAAGGTCCCCTGGAAAATGTGTATGAGAGTATAAGGGAGATGAGACCCCCTGAACCTGAACATTTGGAGCCCCCACATACTGCCAGTTAGCATAAGTTGACACAGTAAGGGTATCAAGGCCCCTCGCTTCTGCCAGGGAAGCATTGGAGACCTTTCTGTACCCTTCCCCCAGCCCCAGAGCTGGCAGCACATTTCTCAGGTCTTTGACCTGGGGTGGTGGCACATGCCTTTAATCCCAGCCCTTGGGAGGTAAAGGCAAGCAGATCTCTAAGAGTTAAAGACTAGCCTGGTCTACATAGTGAGTTCTGGGCCAGCCTGGTCTACATAGTGAGCCCGTCCTACACCCCTACCCCCATCACCTCAAGTCCTGTCCTTGTGGCCCTGAGGCCTAATTAAATCTGTCACCTAAGACTGGACATGTGTGACTCTCAGTTGCTTTTCTTGAAAGCTGGAAGGTTTCAAGAGTGGGAGTTTTCTGGAAGGATTAAAGCTATTCCTTTCTGGCCTTTGGGAGAGCTTCACCTGGTCCCTGACCCCTGCGGCCATCTCAGAACTGCCAGTGGAGAGGAGGGAAGACAAGCCTTTTATAGGTGGCAGTTTCTCAGGCCTGGGGGTCTGGGACAGCGTGGCCAGTTGAAGAATGGTATCTGGACCCTCAGATCCTCGGGAGGCCTCTGCCTCCAGCCCCTGGGGTTACATAAGTGGGCGGAGGTGGGCAGTCCTGCGTTAAAGAATAACCTGCGCCTGGGAGGCCCGCCAAGGATACATGGCCCTCTTCAGACTCAGGCAACTCTGCACTCCCCGACGGTAGGGCTCGGGGGTTCTAGGGCGGTGCTGGCTAGGGGCTGTGGTGGCAGCCTGCAGAGTGCCCTCCTCTAGCGCGGGACCGCAGGGGCGGAGCGGGGCGTGGACCCTTTGGGGTGTGGATGCTACTCACCACTAGCCAATGGGCTTGCGCGCCGGGGCGGAGGCAGGGGTGGGGGAGGCGTGGCCCGTCAGGCAGCTGCGGGCGGTGCGGGCGACTGCCGGATCCTGGGCGGGGGTCGGCGGCCCGGCCAGCCCGGCCCGGCCCGGGGCCGCGTCCGTAAGAGTACATCTCGCCCCTGCAACCTAGGGTGCCCGCCGGCCATGGAGGCCGAGTGCCCCCCGGCGCCGGGCCAGGGCCACAAACGCCCCTCGCCCTGCGCTGCAGGTCGAAACCCCGCGTCCGTGGCCACCTCGGATCCCAATGTGCTGCAGACCACGGCTCCGTGGCGGATTGCAGAGGGCCCAGGCCAGCGCGCCGCGCCGGTGACGGTGCCCGCGCCACCGCAGGTACCGGTGGGCGGGGGTGCCGCCAAAGTTTCCCTACAAAGATGGCGTCGGGTGTCTGCAAACTTTGGGCCCCGAGGGCGTGGCAACTGAGAGTGTCACGCGTTGGTCCGTGCGTGTCCGTGGGTCAGGCCAGGCATGACCGAAGGGCCAGGGGACGCTTCCCGCCGCCCGGGACGGGGGCGGGGCCGGGGGCGGAGCCGTGCAGTCCACACCAGCTGCAGCCGGTGTGGGAGGGAGTCAGGCTCCGAGCGGATTCGAGGTGAGGCCTAGGGTCCCGAGCCAGCTCCTCCCCGGTTTGCAGGGACCTTCTGTAGGTGGTGGCCTTGCGGGCTTGCACTTCTCACGGCCGCAGGAACCTCAGGCCGCTGACCTAGGGACTTCGGGAACCAAGTCTGGAGCAGCAGCGCGACTCCCAACACCTTCTGTACACATCCCGGTGCCAGTACAGAGGTGAGGCAGGGGCTAGTGCCCCAGGACTAGAAATGTGTATGTGTATGTATGCTGAGGGGTAGATAGGGGCGCAGATTTCTGCCCTTTGGAGGCCTCGGTGGAGATGAGGTTAAGACCTGGGTGTCTGCTTCTCCCCTCCCCCAACTGACTGTCCAGGAATCCCTGGGGCTGAAATCGACACCTCCCTACTTGCTAACCCTATACCCCTGACTAGCTATGCAGCTGGGACTGGCTCTGTCCAGCCTCCTGGGCCTGGGGACCCGCCTGTACTTGGAGTCCAGTCTCTCCTGCCGTTGCCGAAAGGCTGGCCTCTCCGCCCTCCTAGGCCTGGCGCTTGGCCCCACAGCTGCTGTTGCACAACCGTGGTTAACGTGTGATGGCCAGGAAGGCTGTACCATTAGCTGGCCTCAGCCCCTATAGTGGGACTTCAGGCCGGGGCCCAGCCAAGGTCTGAAGGAGCCATGGTGGAACAAAGCCCAGCCTATGTAGAACTCAGGCCTTGTGCAGACCCCAGCCCTGTTCCCTGCAGTTCCTGGATTTTCAGCTCTGAAACCTGAGCTGGGGGTGGAGTCAGGTCTCCTGCCCAGAACCTGGAGTGAGGCAGCCTGATGCCCACACACGTGTCCAGGCCTGCACGTGTGTGCTGTGCCAGGGGAGGGGCCTGGAAAACTTGTTGAGCCCCGACCCCATTTCCTCCAGAGTGCCCCTAGGAAAAGTCCGGCTGGATGAGGTCATGGCTGCTGCAGCCCTTACAAGCTTGTCTACCAGCCCCCTCTGCCTGGGGACCCCAGCTACAAACTTCAGCCCAGGTGAGACTCAGAAACCTATGTTTAAGTATGGGCAGGGCCCAAAACTTATGTGCCCTCAGGATTCTGAAGTCACCAAGCCTCTGTGGGACAAGCAGCAGCTCCAAACCTGATATGCCACCTTCTGAACTTTGCTCTTGGGTCTCTAAGAGACATCTGGACCCTCAGTGCCCCTCACTATGGCCAAAGCTGTAAGTCTGCTTTGCTGGCCATGCCAGTCCTGGCACTGCTAAGCACCCCTGCCTTTCCCCTGAGGCCTAGTACTCCTAGATGTCCCTCCTCCACAAGGCTCTGCCCACCATGCTCACCTGAACAGGTGGCAACTCATAGTCAGGGACTTGAGGAAACCAGCAGACCGTAGTTTCTGCAAAGCAGCTTGAGATTTCCAAGCTCCTGAGATTGGAGTGTCCCTGCAGAGCCTGGCTTGGAGCCCTGGAAGGAGGCTCTGGCGCATCCCCCAGGCAGCTACAGCAGCAGCAGCTACAGTGGAGACTGGGCCTGGGACCTGACCAGTGACCAGTCCTCTCCATCCACTCCATCGCCCCCACTCCCCCCAGAATCAGCCCACTTCCTATTTGGGGAGGCCACCCTGAGGAAGAGGAAGGTAAGCTTGAGGAAGGCCCTGGGGTTGGGCTGGACTGGATGGCTGCTGTTGACCCAGGCCCCTATCACTCCAGAGCTCTATCCAGGTCATGTTCCAGTGCCTGTGGAAGAGCTGTGGGAAGGTGCTGAGCACAGCGTCTGGGATGCAGAGACACATCCGCCTGGTGCACCTGGGGTGCGGTGGGGCTGGGGGCTTGGCTACGGTGGGGTCAGGCCTGGGCACCACTTCAGTTTCCACCTCTCTGTTCTTGGCAGAAGGCAGGCAGAGCCAGAGCAGAGCGATGGTGAGGAGGACTTCTACTACACAGAGCTGGATGTTGGTGTGGATACACTGACTGATGGGCTCTCCAGCCTGACCCCTGTGTCTCCAACAGTCTCCATGCCACTCACCTTTCCTCATCTGGAGCCCCCAGAGTTGCTGGAGCCCCCAGTCCTCCCTAGCCTGCTGCAGCCCCTAACCCTGTCCCCACCCTCCATGCTCACCTCTGCAGCAACCCCAAAAGTATGCCACAGTGATCATGCCTACCAGGCAGGTGAGGCCACAGGTAGAGACTGGGGGCAGGTCTCAGAGCACTCTAGAGAGGAACAGAACAGGGGCTGTGGCTCCCCTCAGCGCTGCCTGGCACCTGTACACCTGAAGCCACAGCCCACTGAGGTCCAGGCCTACATACCAGCCCTGCCTGCCAAGCTTAGTGCTAACCTGAGGTGTGTAGGGGTTAAGGGGCTGGGCATGTACCAGGTGGGGAAGGTCTCAGCTACAAACTGTCCATGCCCCCTGCATGTCTCCTCAGGAAGCCCCGAGGGGATGCCAAGAAGTGCCGGAAGGTGTATGGCATGGACCACAGGGACCTGTGGTGTACCGCCTGCCGCTGGAAGAAAGCCTGCCAGCGGTTCCTGGACTGAGCCCATCCTTGCTGCTGCCTGGCCTTCTTCCCACTCTCAGTCTGAAGCTGGAGCAAGTTTGCAGGGGGAGTTGGTGACCCTGGACCCCCTAGTGGTGAAGGAGGGGGTCCAACCACTCAAAGTGCCTCTGAAGAAACCAGCCTTTTGTACAGCGTTGTACCCCGTGGTCCCAGGGGCAGCTTGCCTCCGCTGCCTGTCACTCATGGACTTGTCAGTGGGCCCAGCAGGGGCCAATCCAAGATGCACTTTGAGGGATGTCAGGGAGGGTACTCTCCAGCCCATGTTTAAGATCATGGTTCCAGGGCCCTGGGGCTGACATTTTACCATGTTTCTGAAACTCAGGTGTCTCAGGTCTGGGCCATATCAAGTGAGGAGAAAAATTAAAAATTAGTTTTTTGGTTTTTTTTTTTCAGAAACTGAGTTTGCCTCCTGGGGGACAGATGAAACTGGGAGGGAAGGGGTAATGGGAAATGCCATCGGGTTAGGAGGCTGCTACTACCCAGGTTGAGGTTCAAGAAGGGGCACTGTCCGAAACACACAGGAAGCATCTATTTGGAGCAGCAATTTCCCGATTTATTGAAAGTGATCATTTTGCAAGAATGTCTACGCTAATCCATCACAGAAAGGAAACACACAGGCAGCCTGAAGCACACCTATGCAGACAAGAAATCGCAGGAACACTATAGAGAAGGTAATCTCTACCTGTCTGTGGCTACAGAGAAGCAGGACAACAGAGCTGCGAACCCCACCGACTGATTATGACAAACCTCCCCCAAATATTAAACACATCTTCAGTACAAACACAGGTTTATAATAATTAATATAAAGTCAATATAATATAGCTTATCCCCAGAAAAAAAAATCAACAATCTTCAAACACTGCCCTTTTTTTAAATCCTATTTTTGCTGACAGGTTCAAAGCGTGTTGAAAAAAATAAATATTTAAGAAAAGCACACACAGCACCCTCACTACAAGTGATTCTAAAAGAGCTGCATATAAAACAACAAGATCTAAAAATAAAGACAACACCATTAAGTATGGCTTTCTTAAGAGTTGCACAAAGAATGAGCCAAAGTAAGATTATCTTTCATAATATTGCAAAAAGTTCCAGTTTTTGCATTTTCTCAGTTTTTTAAAAAGGAAGATGTGCAAAGTTGGAAGCATCGCTGTGTCTTTTGAGTCTTGAGTCCTGGCAGTGTCCTGTTCCCCAAAAACCAGAGAGTCCAAATACATAACCCAGTCAGGATCCAGAGCTCCATACAAAAATCGTGGTTTTCTTACCCAGTCAACACCCGCCCCCAAAAGAAATTCCACTTTGGTGCTGCAAACACCAAAATACACATAGACATACACATATACACACAAAAATACAAAACATGAAATGTAATCTACACATTTTTCCTCTTCATAAAAAAATATTTATTAGTTTGAACATTGATTTAAAAAAAAGTCACGTTAAAAAAAAAAAAAAAAAAAACTTCAATACACACATCTTTTCCCTCCATGCCTCCTGAGATGGATGATGTATTCATCTGGGTCTCTGAAATTCCACTCTCCAATTGAAAACTGAGCCAGCACAAATCCTGCCACATACCAAACACTTGAGGAAGTGGTAGGACAGGAATTGGGACCCTCAGTTTCTGGTACAGTATTAGTTTTAAGGAAGTGCCCTGTGGCACAGACAGGGAACCCCCAGAAAGGCCAGAAAAAGCAGTCCAGAATGGGAGCCAGTCAGAGCAAGACATCCTGAGAGTGGAGGCACAGGTGCCTTGGGAGGTGGCCAGGGGGTCCTGGGCAGGACGGCCTGAGAGGTAAGGACCGATACAAAAACCCAGAGACAGTGATAGCAAAGGTCTGGTTTCCAAATGTGTTTTATAAGAAAGTATTTAGAAAAGGCGTTTAAAAAGGGGGAAGGGTATTAAGTTCTGAGAGCCATCAAACAGGCCTGGCAAGGCTTAATGGGGCTCAAGCTGGAGTTCTGTTGGTAAAAGGGAGTCTAGCTATGTTACTGGGAAATGTGTCCCCGAGCCCACCTGCTTAAGAGGGGGAAGAATAGTGAGTGGAGGGGCCCACAGCTTCCCCTGCCCGTGTTCCCACACTCCATGTGTTTTAAAAGAGTCCTGGCCCTGTTCCTCTTGACTTCTTGACTGTTGTTTTTATTTAAAACAATAAAAGCTGTGATGCCACCCTGTGGCACTGACCTACAAAGACAGCACCATGATCCTTGTGTCTACCTGGGCCAGCCCTGTGCCCCTTTGCAGCTCAGGCAGCTGGTACTTAGGGAATGTCACCAGGTGACATGTGCTCTGCGTGACCACTGGGAAGTGACAGTTAAAAAAAAAAAAAAAAAAGGCCATTTGGTTCAAGAGTTTGGAAAAGGAAAATCAAAATTCTTTACTTGGCCCTAATGCTTAGCAGTTCAAGGAGCCTTTGCATAGGGTGGGGGTCAGCTCACCAGGACCTCACCAGAGTTCTCACCACACACCAGTGCAATGGGCCTATGTAGGTAGGTGAGCAATAGAATGTCATTGATAGTCTGTCAGACACAGCCCCAAGAAGGAAGAGGACTGGCCGCAGTATCTGCATCTGCTCTGCAGGTAAGTTTCACAGAGATGCCAAGATGAAACCTGTACTTTTCACTCAGGAAGAAAGAACAAGGGTGAATGCCTTTAGAAATATAGCAAGAGGACTTGACAAGGAGCTAAAGGAAACCAGCCCTACAGAGTCCTGTCAAGTGAGAAAAACAACTCAAAACAAGGTCATCTGTTAAACTACCTCAGAATGTCTCTCATTACTTTAAAATTTGGTTACCCAGGCAGGGAGGTGTCAGCAGCACACTGCAGCTAGGAACCTCCAGCTGATAGCAGCAACAAAGGCAGGAGCTGAGCTCTAGCCTGTCCAGGAGGGGTCAGTTAGAGTCAGGCAGAAATAAGGGTGGACAAGGTCCCAAGCTCTGCAAGGAATCAAGCACAGAACAAAAGCTGTGGCTCCTGCAACCAAACCCTGTGACCTGAACTTGGGAGTATCCAGCCACAAGTCTCCTCCCAAACAGAGCTTTTCCTCCATGGCCTGCAAGTTGCGGGGCTGCTTCCACCAGATAGCACCTGGAGCCCAAGCCTCCAGTGGGGCATCTGCAGCCATTTTGTGTTAAGCACCAAAGCCTGGAGGAGGTAAGAGGGTTACAGGGTTTCTGCCCACTGGACCTGGATTCCATCAGCTGCCGTGGAGCAGCAGAAATCAAGAGGGCAAAGACCTCTGGGGGCCATAGACATTAACCTGACCGCTTGGAGGATGGAGAGGACTTGGGAAATGCTGTGAATGGAGCGGCTTGGGGTTATAAAAACACCTATGAAGTCCTGTGGTCTTAGGGATTGCCCTCATGAGCCCCATCAGTGCTGACCATGACCTGGCCACTGAGCCATCTTGTATCCCTAGCCAGGCTCACAGCAAAAGGGCTCCTTTGATACCCTGAGGAAGCATGACCAGGCCTTGGTACAGCCCTGCCCACATACCTGCTGGGGACTCTATGTCTAGACAGGTAGGAGCCAACATTCTTCTTTTGCCTAAACCCACACTGCATCCCCTCCCTCGCTTGTGGCCGGTCTCAGTGCTTTCCACTCCCCACTTCTTAGCTCACAGAACCAGTTTCTGCAGGGGTGGGGGGTAGTGTGGGACACAGAGGAGGACCTGGAGAAAAGGCTTCGAGGAATCAGCCTGGCCCTCTCCTCCTGCCCCCGACCCCCGGGTGAGTGAAGACCCACTAAGGCGCACACAGAGGTGGACAAAGCAACGCGGCCACCACTCACCCTGCCCACCAGAGCAGAGCTCCTAGGAGATCCAGGCAAAGTCTTTGTCAGGCTCCCCTGATGGGCTGCGGGGCCCCTGCGGAGAGTCCTCATCATCTTTGTCATCTCCTAGCAGTGCGTCCTCATGTGCTAGGCCCACGTCGTCCTTCCACTTGGCCACATCCTCATCCTCATCCTCACCCAGCTCTTCTTCACCCTCTCCTCGTGGGTCATCGGGGTCCTCCAGGTAGGGCCCTTCACCAGCAAACAGCGCCTCAGGGGAGCCCTCACCACCTCCACCATGGTCCAGTGGTGTGGCTACACCCCGGCCAGCACAGTCTGCACACACACCATGGCGCCGAGAGCCGTGCTTGATGCCCACGCTGGCTGCAGACATGAACACGCGGCTGCACACCTTGCACACGTACTTCTTGTCCTTGCTGTGGACCTGGAGGGACAGAGTGGTCAGTGGAGGCACCCCTCCAGGTCTTGGGGTAGAAAGTACAGTCTGTTAAGTTGTGAGGGACCTCAGAGGGACAGGCTAGCAGGGACTGGGAGTGACAGGTCTGCCGAGAGAGCCCACGTGGGCAACATTACGAAAAGTACCAAATCATCCTGTCCTAAGGGAATGTTGGGTACCAGGTACAATAGTGTCCTGTCCCTACCAGCTGGGCCAGGTCTCAGCCCATCCATATCCAGACACCCCTCATCCAATGGTATACTTCTCAGGTTACATTGTTCCCTCAGCCTAGTCTGCTCCTTCCCTTCAGGACAGGCTGAGGGAATCCTATCAGAGTACCCTAGAGCCCAAGCTGCCACCTGCTGTGTACAGGCAGAGGAGTTGGCCTGGCTTCCCAGGTGGGAGCAGAACTAAGAAAGTCAACACTGCTCAAGTGGGGGCACAAGGCTGGAATGGGAGCCCACACACAGCTGTGGCTGGAATCTGCCTTCCAGAAAGCCCAGTCCAGCTTGATGGGTTGGGCAACATGGGCACCACAGGTGAGAGATAGGGGCAGCAAGGGCAGTATGGAGTCCCAGAAGATGGTGGATGGGAAGTATGCTGGGCCCTGGCAGCAGGGTAATGGAAGTCATACCCCAGCCTGGCTGCTGTGGACCCTGTTTCCAATGAAAAGGGGGCAAGTCCTCCCACCCTGCCAGGGTGCCTTTAGGTCACCTGAGAGGCAAGGACAGAGGTTAGCAATTAGGGTCAGCAGAGGAGACACGGTAGACAAGGCGGGACTGCAGCAGTGGCCCTGCCCAGTGTTGCACCTGGCAGGGAGGTACAGTGATTAATACTGAGAGAATACAAATGTCTGGTGTATGGCTTACTTGTCTGTAAACATAAGGATCCATATTTAGCATATGGTAAGAAATTTCATTTGTCTGCCAAGTTTTAAAGAATAAGAGACTGCAGCAGCACCTTTAGTCCCAAGACTCAGGAGGCAGAGGCATGTGGATCTCTGTGAGTTCGAGGACAGCCTGGTCTACATAGCGAGTTCCAGGACAGCTGGGGCTACAGTGAGACCCTGTTTGGATAGGACTCCTATATTAAACCTCACACACCCACAGCTCAGGGACCATTGCAGAAGGGAGGCAGAAAGATTATAAGAGCCAAGGCTGGTTCGTGAACCCGCAGAGAAGCAGAGGCTTTCAGGCCACCAGAAGCTTGCACATGTGAACTGGAGGCAAGGGTGACATCGAGCACAGGGCCACACAAGGGTGGAATGGAGTGAGAGAAATGGATGGTGGGCCAGCCCTAGACTGGGAACTATTGGAGACTTGATTACTACTGGGTAAAGGAGAATATGCCTTACTTAGGATCTCCAGATAGGCTGACTAGACTCCAGTGGATGATTTGTATTGAAGTACATTGAGTACAAATGTTTGACTGGATAGGACTTCATATGTATGGCAGAATACGTGATGTCCGATGGGGGTTCGGGGGGTATGGATGGGGGAGGGGATCTAAATTTGATTAAGAACTGTTGTACGAAATGTACAAAAGCTCAACAAAAAATTTTTTAAAGACCAAAAAAAAAATGTCTGGAGCTCTTAGATGCATCTTAAGAGGTCACAACCTGAAAGAATGTGCCCATGGCCCAGTGTCCTCTGCAGAAGGTGGGTCTGTGCAGAATTGGGCCCCCTAGAGATAAGCAAGGTGGGATTTGTGAGTTCCCACAGGCATTATCAACCTGGCCTACGCCACTGGTGCTTCTTTACCTCTAAAGCCTGGCCCTGCGCTTCAAGGGTGGAATCTGGAGGGCCCAGAGGAGCCCAGAGCAAGCCCTAGCCCAGGCCACACACAGGTAGGCTAGCCTCAGACCAGCACTCCAGAAAGAGCTTCCTTGGCTGGCAGCCTCCCCAGTCTCCTCTCTGTCCACTGAGATCCTCCCTCCTGCATGCCTTGCCTCCAGGACCCATTGGAGAACAGGCTGCTCAGGGAGTGGGTGATTCTACCTTGTTCTCACCTTTCTGAATCAGCCAGTCCTCATCTATAACCAGTCCACGATGGGAAAAGGCTCCTCTACTCCCAAAGATCTGCCCACAAGAGGTCACTGTGGTTCTGTCTGGGCCTTTGAGTGCCACCTTCATCCTGAGTTTCCCAGGCCTGCAGTCCCAAAGATCACTAGACCATCCAATCCCCAACCCCCACCCCTGGCTCTTGAACCTACTTTCTCCACCAAGGTGGCCCTTGGAGCTGGGTGCCAGCCTCACAGGCTTCATTGAAAGCCTGATTCTAGAAATGGGGCCTCACATAACTTGGTACTCAGGGCACCTCCTTTTTTATTTTCTTTTTCTTTTTTTTTTTCTTTTCTTTTTGACACAGGGTCTCTCTGTAGCCCCAGCTGACCTGGAATTAGCTATGTAGACCAGGCTGGCCTCAAACTCACAGAGATCCGCCTGCCTCTGCCTCCCAAATGCTGTAATTAAAAGTGTGCACCACCATGACAGGCTGGCACCTCTTTTTTTGATTTCTTTGGTTTATGTTTTTTCTCTCTCCATATGCTCCTGCTTCAGCCTCCACAGTCCTAGGATTACAGGTATGTACCACCATGCCTGGTTTTATGCAGTGCCAGGACTTAAACGCAGGACTTCCAGCATGCTGGGTAAGCACTCTACCAATTAAGCTACACACTACCCCAAGCCCATTTTGCCATTTTAAGCCCAAGGTTTCCCCCTTTCTCTCACAAAAGAACAAAACTTACACCGAACTATAGTAAGAAGTGTGTTGATCACATAGGATCAGGTCCAGGAAACAGACCACAAGATACCTGTGGCCTAGGGACTCCCACATGAGCTAGGGGCTGTACCATGATGCTGAGGGATGACAAGGGTGTCTCAGGGAGCCTCTCAGCATCATCAGTGGGTCACTCACTCACTCATCCTATTTAGTAAGACAGCATGAGAGAAGGATGCTGGGTGCCATAGCAACCTGCTGCTAAGCCCCCTTGGCAATAAATAAATAATTTTTAGAAAGAGATATAAATAATTTTTAGAAAGAGATAGCAGAGCCAGGCGTGGTGGTACACACCTTTTAATCCCAGCACTTGGGAGGCAGAGATCCCAGGCGGATCTTTGTGAGTTCAAGGCCAGCCTGGTCTACATAGTGAGTTCCAGGACAGCTGGGGCTACAGGGAGACCCTGTCTCAAAAAGACAAAAAAAAAAAATATTTACTGTGTGTATATAAGTGTTTTGCCCACATGTATGTAAGTTTACCACATGCATACAATGCCCCAAAGGCTATAAGAGGGAATCAGATCCTCTAGAAATGGAGTTGTAGACATTTAGTAGCTGCCATATGGATGCTTGGAACTAAACCCAGGTCCTCCTCAAAGAGCACCAAGTGCTCTTAACTGCTAAGCACTATGTCCAGCCCCTGCTGGTGTCTTGCCTGGATGAATCTGCCTGTTTCCAGACACCCTTTCTCTCTGTCATCTTTGGACAGGCCAATTCATGCTTCAACTCCTGTTGCCTGAAAATGACATGCCAGGTGCTAGGAGCCGGACACACAGGGTAGAGGCAGGCAGACAGACAGACGGGCCCATCCTGCACACAGGGGTGTGCACTCCAGCAGTGGCTGAGGAGGCCAGCAAGTAGGGCAGTAGTGATATGCTACCCTGCTTCTGCTCTCAGACCCACACCAACAGGGCTGGGACCCCTGGGGAGGGAGGGGTGCAACGATGTACCAAGTGAACAGCACTCCCTGCTCCGCTCGATCTTCCCCTCTACCTATTTCTGAAGTGTCCAGAGCATTTTGTATCTCCCTCTAGAACAGCCTGTCAGGGCATCTCAGGGCAGCACAGCATGCATCCCACTTTTATGTCCCTGCACTTACTAGCGTGTGCCGCTTCATATGCTCGCGCCGTGTGAACTTCTTGCCGCAGATCTCACAGGGGTATGGCCTCTCCCCAGTATGTGATCGCATGTGTCGCTTCAGGATGCACTGATGCATGGCCGAGAAGCTGCAGTAGGGGCACTTGAACTTCTTCCTGATCACTGTGAACTCGTTCACTGAAAGACAGTGGCAGAGATATCAGCACTGACCCCACACCACCTCTGTGTAGACAGTCTACCCACGCATCAGAGCCCAAGGAAGTGGGTACCCAGTGCTTAGGAGCCCCCCACAAACAGACATCCATTCAGGACTCCACGGAGAACAGACCAGAGCTCCACCAAAGCTAGTGGCTGGCCATGGGGACAAGTGACCTTGCACAGCTGTCTACTCTCTGTACCCACAGGCCCCACTGGACACTGAAGCATGATGTTGAGCAAGAACAGATCGGACACAACCCTGGAGAGGAAGATTAAAACAACCTCTTCCCCCTAAAAAAATCCAGCCTACCAGCGTGGTCCAGGTCCAAAAGCACAGGTCTGCTAGAAAAGTAACCAGATGGTTTAATACAGGTCTGTTCTACAACTGTGGATACCACTGCAGGAACCCATCACTGCTAAGTGTACTCTACCACCAGCCTCAAACACTCGGGGGACCCCTCAGTGTCCCCAGTGCTGTTCTGCTGCTGAGGCCCAGACATAGGCCTGCAGGCATGGCACCTGAGTATGCACAGTCCTTGGCAACATGAGGAAGACCTCTGTAAGGTCACAGGAAGCCCTGTGCTCATGTACCAGAGCCCTTTACTTTGTAATCTTCTGTAGTCCCAGGTACCCCAGATGTGTTCCAGACAGGTGAACACTTGGCATTCTGTCCTGAAGAACAAAAATGGTATCTGCTAGACCTGGAGATACCAGGTCTAGATATCAGATGAACTAACATCTGGCACCTGTAAACCATGCTGTGTGGACAACACAGCAGACAGCCAAAGTCACTGCATATACTCCCTGTGCTCACCAAAAGGATACAAAGTTGTCTAGGAGAGCTGAGAGGACTTCCCTCAAGTCATCTCTCTTCTAGCCTTTTCATCAGATAGAAACCATTTCCTTAGATTAGGGGCTCTGAGTGTATGTGTAAGCCTGCTGGTCTGAGGCTAGGAGCTGGGGAAGACTCATCTGGGCCTCTACGGTGAAGCTGGTCACCATGGTCAGAAATCCGACCTCCTCTGTGTCTCTTTTCTTTATATGAATACATACATGTGCACTTAAAGAACTAGGATCACATATATATTGTATATAATGTCATACTTCACATACTATCATTTTTTTATTTTTTGATCTTTAAAAAAATTGTGGGCATGGTAGTGCATGTCTTTAATCCCAGCACTTGGGAGGCAGAGGCAGGCAGATCTCTGTGAGTCTGAGGCAGCCTGGTCAACATAGTGAGCTCCAGACCAGCTGGGGCTACAGGGAGACCCTGTCTCAAAAGACCAAAAAAAAAAATTATTGAGCTTTTGTAGTTTATATAACAGTTCTTAATCAAATTTAGGCCCCCTCCCCCATCAATGCCCCACCATCCCCACAGTGAACCTCATGTATTCCGCCATACATGTTAAGTCCCACCCAGTCAAGCATTTGTACTCAGGTGTCTTCAGTGTAAATTCATCCACTGGAGTCTAGTCAGTCCACCTAGAGAATGTATATAAGCCCACCCATTTCTCTCTTCCCCTCTGGGCCCTTGTCTGATTGAATTGGCATGGGTCCTGTGCTCCATGCTGAGACAAGGTCTCTCTGTAGCACCAGCTGGCCTGGAACTCACAGAGATCTGTCTGCCTCTGCCTCCCTAGTGCTGGGATTAAAGGTGTGTGCCACCATACCCGGCCATTTGTGACCTTTTTTTAATGCCCTGGTTTTTAGCCATATGTGTTTTTGTTTATTTTTTGGTTTTTTTTTAAAGATTTTATTTATTTTTATTTTATATGTATGCATGTATTGCCTGCATGTAGATAAGTGTACCTGTGTCATGCAATGCCCATGGAGGTCAGAAAAGGCCGTTGGATCCCCTGGGACTGGAGTTACAGTTGTTAGCTGCCATGTGGGTGCTGGGATTTGAACCTGGGCCTTCTGCAAGAATAACCAGTGTTCTTATTTGCTGAGCCATCTCTCCAGCCCTAGCCATACATGTTTTAAACATTTGGATATGCTGTAACATTAGAGATTCTCTTGTTGGGCATTTATACTGTCCCCATTTTTTATTTTTAATTCCTACAGGAGACTCAGCACAGATCCTGAGAGGCAGAGTTTGTCCCCATTTGCTGCACCTTCAGCCAACACCAAGGCCCCAAGCTAGGAGTGTTTGCACAAAAGTGCAGCTCTAGCAGACAGGCGTTTCTGAAAGCAGGTCCCAGCAGGAGATGGGGGCATCTGGCAGTGACTACTGTGTGACGCCCAAGTGTCTGTATATCCCAGATGGAAGGTGTGGAAGTCCAGCAGCTGGCACCTGACCTCACATAACCATCACCAACAGAATGCTCACAGCAAATGCATGTGGATGCCAGGTGACAACAGGGACATGCATGTCTGGCCACTGTCCACAAGAGGGAAAACCTAAACTGCCCTTGTCCTTCCCTAAGAAGCAGCCCTATGCCTTGACTAGGCCACATACCAGGTAACAGAACCCTGTTCCTCAGTTCAGACTCATAACTCCACCACGGAGCTTTTCATTTCTGTGATTCCTAGTTTTATAGGACCACACCTAACAGAAAGTGGGCTGCCTGAATGCAGGAAGGGAGAACAAGGAGCTGAGTTTCCACATCACTTTCTTTGAAGATGTTTTTGGTGACATATCACATGGTTTCTACTCTTCTACAAACATGAAGATTAAAGTTTTGAATTATGTGGCTGAAGAGGTAGCTCAGTGGTGAAAAGCACATCACTGCCCTGGCACAAGAGCTGAGTTTGATTCTCAGCACCCACACTGGAGTTACAGCCGCCTGTAACTCCAGCTCCAGGGGATCCAATGCCCTCTTTTGGTCTCCATGGGCACTTGGAACATACATGTACATGCCTCATAAACATACATATAAATAAAAAATATTTTAAATTTTTGAATTATATATTTGAATTATATATTTAGTAATTCAGAGCTACATGTTAAATACTTACTGCTACAAATAAAAATTCTTTTTTCCTTAGAAAAACAACTTAGGCTGGACATTCACAGTGACCCTACCCTTGTGATGGGCAGATAGATGCTTCACTTAAAACCTAGGCTTCCATGCCAAGCAGAGTGGAGCAGCTATAACCCTAATACTGGGAAGACTGAGGTAGGAGGATAGAGAGTTTAAGGCCAGCCTGGGCTATACACTGAGACCTTAGTTGACTCTCAGCAGCAAGCATTGATGCCCCTCAACCTTATCATAAAACACAGGCCAAACCAACTACAAAGCCAGGAGATAAGACTGATGATGACAAACAGGAGTCACTCAGCAATATTAGCCTGCAAACCTGAAGGCCATAATGCTTGTGCATAGGAAGGAAGCATCTTTTGAAACTATGCCCTTGACCAGTGAACAATTATCAAACATTAGTCCACACCCTAGAATCAATAAAATTTTGCTGTTCTCTTTTGTCGAGCAACAGCAGCAGGGTTCCCCTCAATCACTGCTTCTGCACAGGATGAAGTCGGTTGTGCAGGCTGGCTGATGTCCCAACAGAGGACGACTCTTGCATGTCTCGTTTGTAACACATGGCTGGGTCTCACTTCTACTGCTTGCATGACACACAATCCCACCTTCCCAAAATTCACAAATAGTTGCCCAGGAGCCTCATTCTTGACAGAGAATCCAGAAAACCACCAGTGACTGGGACAGGACAGGAAAGTTTGCATGTGGCCGCACAAAGAGACCTCAGTGGGCATGCACGTCACTTCCAGAATCTTCAGCCATGAAAGATCCTAGGTTTATCTGCTCATTGAGTTACAATTTTCAAAACACTGCATGTCTGGTATAGCTCAGAAATGGAGCCAAACAAATTATGCCTTATTTTTCCATTTACGAGTATACTAGGCTGTCATTTTTGTATTAGAATAAAATGAAATGATGCATCCAAATTATTTTCGGAAGTTTTTAAGTTTATGTAAAGTGTACATACCCTAAAAAATCATCTGTAGCACCCTCAAAAGAGCCCCTCTGTCCAGTCAGAACCAACCCCTAAAGACAGTGACTGCTCTGCCCTTAACCACCATGTCTGTTTTGCTCTTCTGTGGCCTAGTGTCTGTGGGGCTATCTGCTCATGACTGGCAACATTAGTCTGGGGGAAATGCTGTCTGGAGTAGTCTGTTCTTGTTTCCTGCAGCATAGTACTCCTTTGTGTGCCTAAACCACAATAGGTCCATTCTGTAGATTTGTCTGAGATTATCCCTACACGCATGTCTTGGTGGGCAGGAGCTCTCATCTTTGCTGGGCACCAAAGAGAGGAAACGGGGCACAGAATATTCAAATTGGCCGAGCAGCTTTTCCAAAAATTTACAATTCAACTCAAACTACCTTTGTGCTGCTTGGTAAGAGGTAGGGGACAGAACTTCCCCTCCAGGTGGACATCCAATTCCCTCAGCACCACGTCTCACATGGAGTCCATACTATAGCTCCTGGGCATTCCTGTGGAGGACTTTCTAGATGAGGCAAATTGAGGGCAGAATACATACCCTAAACGTGGGCAGCACGTTCTGTGGGCTGGGGTTTTAGAGTACATAAAAAGGGGGCCAGCTGAGCACCAGCTTCCTCTTTCTCTGCTTCCTGACTGCAAATGCACAGCTGCTTGGTGTCCCTTCCACCACGCCTTCCCATCGTGACGGACTGCACCCTTGAACTGTCAGCCAAATGAAACCCTTCCTTCCTCAAGTTGCTCATCAGGCATTTGATCACAATGACAGAAAAGTAACTAATACACTGGTGTTCCAAAGTATCATTTATGGACAAGAAATCAACTCAGAGCCTCATTCTACCCCTCTTCTGCAGGACTCCTAATTCCTAGGACTGCCTGCTGCCTGCCCCAGTCTCCCAGGGCAGATGCCAGACAGCCAGAAGCCGGTACACTCCCCATTACCTGGTTCTTCCCACAGAAACCAGAGCAAGGTTCCCTTCCTCTGCCTCCAGAGTACCTGGTGCTTCCTTGTGTGGTGA